AACACCCCCTCCTCACTGTCTATTTCTTACACCCCCTCCTGACATTCATCAATGATAACACCCCCTCCTTACTGTCCACCTTGCTCTGCCCACTTGTCTCAGGAGCTCCCCTGATCTGCCCCTCTGTGGGGTCTACATTGCAGCTCCTCAGGCTCACCTCTCCTCAGTGGTTCCACAGTCCCCCTCCCCGGGTTGACCCCTCCCCAGACAGCCATCCCCACAGCAGACACCCCTTTGCAATAGTCTCTGGGACCTCTCTTGGTACACTCTTGGGGTTCTGTCTGTCACAAGCACAGTAGGCTGGACACTGAGGACAGCTGGACACATTGTAGGGGTGTGTGTGTGTGTGTGTTCTGTGAGTGGAGCTGACTAGACCCTGAGGACACCCGGCTACACTGTGCGGGGGGCGGGGGTATGTGCATTCTGAGTGGAGCTGACTGGACAATGGACACAGAGCAGATGTGGCCCAGCTGAGTTCCCTGAGAATTCCCTCTCCACCCCACCCTGGGTGTGAGTCTGGCCTGGGCCAAGGATGGTGTCCCCAGAGGGCTGGGGGGCTCCTAAAGGCATGGGGCCCACAGGATGTCAGCTCTCTGGGTTAGCTAAACCTGCAGGCTTCCAAGGAGGCAGCCTTGCTTCGGTCCAGAGTTCACAGGAGGGGGAGGGGAGGGAGGCAGACATTAGGGCCCTGGGGGGGAGGGCAGGAGACACTGCCAGCAGCCGAGGGGGATTCTTGGGGTGCATGAGGGTAGAGCTGGCAGAGACAAGGAGGGTTTGTACTGCCCAGCGATGGGTGCTGACCAGCTGACTGAGGATGGTTGAAGATGTGGTGAAGGGAGAGGAGGTACCCAGGCCAGGAGAGGGTGGCCAGTGACTGGAGGGGACCCAGCTTCTCAGACTGGTAGCTGTGGCTCAACTGCTGAGCTCTGAAGTTGAGGGGGAAGGTCTGTGGGCAAAGCACTGGCTGGTAGGGGACCCCAGAGCTGGCTGTGGCATGTGACAGATGGATAGACGTGAATGAGTGCACCCAGAGAAGGGACGAGCCAAGGGGTGGGCACAGACAGGACTGGTCACTGAGGGCCTTGGGGACAATCAGGAGTCCTAGGACCAGAGCGTGGGAAGAAGTGGGCAGGCAGTGCCAGGCTGGAGGATGGGCATGGGGAGGGGCTTGTGGCATGGACAGGGCCAGCCGTAGGTGGGCAGGGGGTAGACACTGTGGCATGAGCAGGGGAAAGGTGGCTGGGGGTGGACATAGGGCGGGCATTGTGCTTGGGCAGGGTCAGCTGGGGAGGGTGGGTGGGGTGGACATGGGATGGGCACCATGGCATTGGCAGGGTCAGCTGGGTGGGGTGGACATGGGGTGGACATGTGTGGGTAGGGTGGGTGGAGTGGATATGGGGTGGGCACTGTGGAATCATCAGGGTCAGCTGGAGAGGGTGGGAGAACTGTGGACAAGAAGGGACAAGTAGGTGGAGTCCAGAAGCAGTCCAGTGTCTTCCCAGTCTACCCAGAAATGTGTGCATGTGCAGTCGGCCAGGGGGAGGGTGTCACAGGCACAGGTCTTCCAGGGCAGCATACCCAGTATGGTGGGTCCTCTACCCAGAGACCCCATATTGTTCTTGGGCCTCCGAGCTGCCCACCTCTTCCTCTGGGGCATCAGCTGGGTGGGAAGGGGCTTTAACTCTCTACAGGACCCTGTTGACCTGGGGGTCTACCCGTGAGCAGGGCTTGTAGGCCCAATCTCAACAGGGGGCCTTTCACCTCTAGGGGAGGGGGGTGGGGAGGTCTATGGCCACTTCAAGGGGATCCTTACTCTCTGAAGTCCTGGACACACTCTGCCAGTGCCCACACCCCGTGCCCCCAGACCACTGGCTAGGCACCTGGCACGTGCCCATTCCTCTATGGGGCTGACCCCCATTGCCATCCTGCCCAGGAAACATTCTTACAGGTGAGGAAGCGTCCTGCTCCTCACGCTGCCAGATCTTCCCGGGCAGGGACTGTTGTCAGGGGACAGCCCTCTGGGCCAGCGCCACCTGAGCTTAGGGAGGAGGCCTCCAGGGGAGTCTAACGATGGGGCAAAAGGCTGTACAGTCCACAAGGTGGGCCCACACCATCCAGCCCCCCCTCTGGCTTTACCCAGAGAGAAGGTAGTCAGCTCAGTTGAAGTGGATGAGCTGACCCTTCAGACTGAATGGCCCCTGAGGTTAAGGTAGCCATCAGGTATCCCCCATTCCTGGGGCTCAGCACGAGTGTATGGACACTGGGTCACAGATGGGGAGTACGAAGTGGACACCCAGAGGGAAGCATGGTGGTCAGGACCAGGAGATGAAAGCAACCAGAGCTCAAGTCAGAGTCCCCCAGACCCATCAGGGCGTTTGGAAAGGGGTTCATCACGAGCAGAGAACAACAAGCAAGGGCGGCCTCAGCCCAGGGCCCCGGCCAACAGACCCGAGAGGGACGCTTCTCTGTCAGCTCCCAAGCCCCATCTCCAACCTCCTTGCAGTTTTGGCCACTGGGGCCCCAGGACTCTGAGGACTCCCACCCCCACCCCATGCCTGTTCACAGCTCGGGTCCCAGCGCCTTGAAGAGCGCTGACCTTGTGGTCACCTTGCCTCCAGCCTGGGACCCGCGTCACAGATTCTCGAGCCCAGAGAGAGGCGCCTTTTGAGAGAGGTTGGTGTCTAAGGAGAGGATTTACCAGCTTTCCACATTTCACCCTTTCTTATCTTCACTAGAAACCAATAAAAATGTCACTCCAACATCAGAATGCAAGGCGCGTTTCCTCGCCGGGCCCGGACCAGCCATCGAACACCGCGCAGAGCTGCACCGCGAACGGACCTCCGTGGACGACGGTGCCAACGACTCCGCCACCCCAGGACCACGACTCCGCCACCCCAGGACGTGCCCCCAGAGGTCACCACGCACGGAGCGCTGTGGGGTTCCCGCGGCTCACCGCCCCAGGATCCACCTCGACCCATGGGCGCCAGCTCTGGACGCTCTCCGGGCGCGCGGCCGGTCAGTCGGCTCGGGTGGATGCCCGCAGGTTCTCGCGGGAGCAGTGAGGGGCGACTTCGCGGGGGACACTTACCGATCTTGGCCAGACTGGCCACAAGGATCCACAGCGCAATGATGTACGGGTCCTGGACATGTGGCCACTCGAAGGTGACCACCTGGAAGCCGCTGGACGAGCCGTGCGCGCCAGGCTCTTCCTCGACGCCCCGCGCCCTTGGCAGCGCGCGCAGGAACAGCGCCAGTGCCAGCAGCAGCCCCCAACAGGGGCGTGGAGACCCGCGCTCCGCCATCTCTGCTCAGTGCCGGGTCTGGAAGTGCATACCGCCCGGGGCTTCTCTGCCCTCCCAGGCTGAGGCGCGGAGCTGCACTCCGGCTGCTGTCACCCGCCCGTCTGCCCGCCCCGCGCCTTTTATCCGACGTCCCACCCGCGCCCGGGGCGGGGCCTGCCCGCCCACGCCGCGCACATGCGGGGCCGACACCGCCCGCTGGGCCTGGGCCCGCCCCGCGCTCGGCCTGAGTGGCCCGCGCGCCCCTGCCCTGCCTCGGCCACAGCCCCTTGGGATCAGAGCTGTGGGGTCCACGAGGCTGGCCCCGGGGTCTCTGAGCTGCGGAGTCAGAGGACGCCCCTCCGATGCTTGGCTCAGTCGCCATCCCCCCTCCACGCCCCCCCGTGGTCCTGGCCTTTCCCCGAGGGCGTCCCGCCTCCGTCGCTGAGCCGAGTGCTCGGACCCCGCCCCGAGGGAGGGTGGAGGAAAAGGCTGGCCGCCGGTCTAACGCTTTGTATTAAGGACAAACTGTGTCCCGGGACACGTCTCACCAGAACCCCCAGCCCTCCGTCCCACCTGCACCGGGCGCCCAGTCCTCCAAGGTCCCTCCGGTGGCCGCGGGCGCACGAACCCAGCACAGCCGGATGGAAGGCGTCCTCTACACCTGAGCACATGCGCGCCCCGCACCTCGTCCAGCCGCTGACTACACTGCACTGTGTGTCCTAGCCTTCGACTTTCCATTCGCTGTCGGTTCAGCCCGGGTCCGAGCTCCGGGCTCAAGGCTTGGGCGGCCACCTGCCCCCTCCCCGCTCCTAGATGGGGGCCCCTATGCGTGGTCGAGACTCCAATGCTCTCATCCACCCTGTTCTGCCACCCCGACTCCCCGCCTCCCTGCCCACCCCAACCCGCCACAGCCTCTGTTCTGCCCCGGGAAGCGCTTGGGCCCAGGGTTCAGCTAAGTCTACTGCAGGCTTACTCCCTGTGCGGTCCCCCAATCGGCTGTGCATAACCCCAGGGGTGCTCACTGCTGACCCCACTGTCTCAGGAACGATTCCTGATGGAGGGGGTGGTCGTTGTTGTTGTTATGTGCCATCGAGTCATTTGCGACTCACAGCGACAAGAGCCCTAAGGGCCGTTCTATCCTGTGCCAACCTCACTGTCTCAAACACACTCATTCCCACCACTCCAGTCACAGAATCGATCCATCTCATCGAGGGTCTTCCTCTCCTGCGCCATCCCTCCACTCTCCCACACATGATGTCCCTCTCCAAGGACCAGTCCCTCCTTACAACATGCCCAAAATATGTCAGACAAAGCTTCAGAATCCTTGACTCTACAGAGCAGCCTGGCTTCACCCTCTCCAGGACAAACCTGTTTGTTCTCCTAGCAGTCCATGGTATATTCAACACTCTTCTCCAGCACCACAACTCAAAGGCATCAATTCTCTATCAACCCTATTCACTTCCCAACTCTCTGTTGCATAGGACGTAATTGCAAAGACTATAGCCTGGATCAGGCGCACCTCCAGCCTGGGGAGGGGGTACAAGCTGTAGAGTCAGCCTGGACAGAACCCCCAGGAGGGGCGGGCTCCTTGGGCCACTTGCCTTCATTCTGAGGGATAGTGATAGTGTGTGGACATTGGCTGACCACCAGGGGACGTGCAGGGACCCTCATTGGAGGCCCTCCCCTCTGGTAGGGACTCAGCTGAGTGGGCAGAAGGCTGGGTCAGCCAGAGCTCCCAGGTTGTGACCCTGCTGGTGGGACTCTGAGGGACTTCTGACCACATGTGTCCACACTAATGTGTCTCAGTGACCTCAGGTCTGGGTCCAGTCCTAGAGAAAGTGCCATGGGATGCCTCGGGACAGTGCAGAGTCCCTCCAGCCCCCACACTTCCCTGTCCACTGGGGCTGGGTGAAGCTGGCTGCAGGCCTTCAGTGTTCATGCTGACCAGAGGCCCACCTGGAAGTGGGGTCTTGAGAAGTGTCCCTAGGCCTCTGCAGGTGTGTGGCCATTTGTCAGCTCCAGTCACCACTCAGGAAAGGCCAGAGTGCAGTATCCCACGGAGGGCTGCAAGCTCTTACGTCAAAATCAGCTCAGGGAGGGGGCTAGTCTGTTACAGGGGCTTCCAGGCAGGAACGCCGCTCTCGTGCTTTGTGACAATCAGTGAGTCAAGAAGTAAAGCATTCAGAAGACGTTTACTCTTTTGGACAGGGCAAGCAATGATGCGGGGGACCCCACTGCAAGATGTCACTTGGAACAGACCTTCAGCCCAGTCCACAGAGGTGGGAACACAAGAGAGGTCATCCTGACAGAATCAGCGCTCAGCTCAGGACAAAAAGGAGGAAAACCAGGAAGCTTCGGGCAGGAGCAAACGTGATTTTGATTAACAATATCTACAATGAGCAAGCTTATTATAGTCTTGTCCTCTCTTTGCTGTCCTGAAGGCCTGGGACAGGAGCACAGAGGCCTAAGGACCCTGCCCGGTGCCCACATAGATGGCCTGCCCACCGTGTAGGACAGCAAAGTACTGCAAAGTCACCAGCTATGCAATCAGCATTTCAAAATAGTGGCCTGTGATTTTGTACATTTGTGACAAACATTTTAGAAAATGAAATATAATCTAAAAATAATGGTTTGCACAGCATCAACAATGTGACATATATAAGGAAAAAATATCCAACTACAGACATGGGAGTTCTCGCTGCAGAATTTGGGATGGGATCTCTGCACCAATGAGGGAGCCCCGTGGCTTCACGCACCTGCGGCTCTGCTCTCCTTAGCTCTGCGTTAAGTGCCCACTCCCCCTCAGGTTCCTGGGCAGTGCAGCGAGGTCGACAGTACCCTGGTGGACCCCACAGGCTGCACTGACCTGTCTCGACGCTCGCTCTGCCCATTGGTCACGTGTGAGGAGACTTTCTTGACCAGACGAGTTTTGGTTCTACGGTCTTTCTTCTTTTTCATTGTTTGGTTTTTAATTTTTTTTCATTGTTGAACGTTTTCTTCCCTCCTCCCAGAGCTCCCCTCACAGTACACCCTCTTCTGTCTTCTGTTTCATCAGTTCCCTCATCTTCTGACTTTTTATTTCATCTGCACTTCTTTTATCTGGTTTTGGTGGAAGTGGTCAGAGTAAACGCTTGGACCTTGGCTGCCATGCTGTCTGCACCTTGTCTCCTGTGGATGCTGGTGGTTCAGAAGAGGGCATGCACCCTGGCTGTGAATCACTTTGACGTCTTTGGGTCCCGCGCCTGAAGCAGTTGCTGGTGGGGCTTCCTTCAGGCCTCAGGGAGCCTCAAGGTCGTTTTCCCAGGTGTTCCACCTCTCCCAGACCAGGAAGTCTGGTCGGCGGTAGCTGCTGGGTCTTGCTTGCGTCCCTCTCTGCTGCCCAACGCCTTCTATTGTGTCTGCAGTCAGAATGGACTTTGATTCGCCTTGGCTGCCCTGTTCCAAGCTTTAGATGATTGATTTTCAATATATGACTTTTCCACTGAGCTAAGTTTCTATATTAGAACAATTTTTATGGCATCCCATCAATTTAAGCATTTTCATTTTCATTATTCTGGGCATATGGTTTGTGATTTGGGGAGAGATTCCACTTTGACATCCACTCCGCAACTGCTTAGTTTCCAAACCTTTGGAGACTTTTCCTGTTGTCTTTCTGTTACTGAGATAAAACTTTATTCCACCATTACCAGAGAATATGCACTTCAAAATTTCAATCCATTTGTTGTTGTTGTTTTTTTTCCATTGGTTAACAAATAATCCTTTATTGAAATATTTTCATCTGTAGTTCCTTAGCTAGCTGGGCATTCCACAGCACCACTGTTGATGTCTTCTATGATGTCATGAGGGTGACGACCATCAACATTGCAGCCCACAGATTGGGCAGTTCCCAGGATCTCTTTAATAGTTCCAGAGAGTTCTCTGGCTAAAGACCGGTGCCGCATCTGCCGGGCAATGCCAACAATCTCATCAAAAGTGATATTTCCACTGTGCTTAACTGCAGAAAAAGAACAAAAGTGTCAAAACCCAAGTTCAGAGCAGCACAGATAATGAGGTCATCTTTCTAGGTTGTTCCCATGCTTTCGGCACAGAGTCATCCACATGAAGAACAACCCTGTTTCCTAAGCTGGGGTTCACTATCAGCACACCTCTGGAATGCACCAGCTTGTTGTTGTTGTTATGTGCCATTGAGTTACCTACAACCCATACCGACCCTATGGACAGCAGCTCTGAAGCCTGCCCTGTCCTGAGCCAGTCTCACTGACTCCAACACACCTCCCCCCATTTGCCCCTGTCACTATATCAGCTCATCTCATCCAGGATCTTTCTCTCCTGTGCTGTCCCTCCACCCTTCCAAGCATGATGTCCATCTCCAATGATCGGTCCTTCCTGGCCACGTGCCCAAAGTATACGAGATGGAGCTTCAAGAATCCTGGCATCCAAGAAGCAGCTTGATTTCATCCTCCCCAGGACAAACCTGTTAGTTCTCCTGGCAGTCCACTGAATGTTCAACACTCTTCTCCAGGACCACAACTCAAAGGTATTGATTCTTCCATCATCCTTAGTCATTGTACAACTCTCTGATGTGTGGCAAGCAATTGTGAATACTCTGCTTGGATCAGGCACACCTGAGTCTTTAGATGGACATTGTTGCTCTTAAGCACTCTGGAGAGGTCTCTAATAGCAGATTTTCCTAATGAAATTTGTCTTTTGATTTCCTGACTGCTGGTACCAAGAGGATTGATTTTGGAGCCAAGCAAACAAAAGCTGTCAACAATCTCAATCTCTTCTCCATCTATCAGGGTGCTGCCAGTTGGCCCAGTTGTGAGAATCTTTGTCTTCTTGATGTTGAACTTCAATCCATATTGAAGACTACAGTCCTTGACCTTCTGCAGCAAATGCTTTAGGTCCTCCTCAGTTTCCACAAGCAAGGCTGTGTCATCTGCATAACGTAGGTTGTCCTGATGCCTCATTCCTCCTCATGCAGCTTCCTAAATGATCTGTTCTGCATATAGTTTGAAAAG